TAGTATTATTATTATTCGCCAACAGATGTCGGGAAGAGTTGATTATTTAAAACACGAATAAAACAACATTTTCTGAAAATAAATCGTAGCTAAATCGATTTATCGCCCCCGAAATCCTTTGATACCTATTTCACAAAAGTATGGCTCAGTCACTCCTTCATAGCTAATATCCCACCAAACCATCATTGAAGTTGTATAGTGCCCACGTTGCACTCTGTCGACTAATTGGGAAGCTTCCTTAGAGCTTTGAGCATAAATACGCTCATTTTGTTTGTTAAAATGTTGCTCAATTGTAAAAAAATTCTCATCCGTAAACAAAAAATTTCTATGACCTCCCTTTGCGTACCGCTTCAGTAGTTGTTTCGATTTTACCACTCTATTCTCTTTTAAATTATCAGTTAAGAAATGACCAGTATGTCTCTTATAGGCTGCAAGTCCTAAGTCATAGTTTTGAATTTGCTTGATAAACTCTCCGAAGGTTATTGTTAAGAGCTTCTTGATGTGCGAGGTAAGATTCGGTTTTGTCGGGCTTTTTCTATTGTTTTCTAGTCTACCATTTCTTGCATGACTAGGCTTTCTATGGACCGGCTATCTCGTTACAAAACGTATCGTACGTATAACGTAACTTAAGAGAGCCATTCGACTCCGTGCTATAGACAAACTCTGCTTGATGCCGAGTTCTAGAAGTATCGAGATGTTTGTGCGAAACTCGATCTCCGAAATCCCAAGCAATCTTCTCCAGAAATACATCTCCAGACCGTCTATTTTCTTCCTTTCCACTTCCACACAAACAACGAGAGTCCGCACTGGTAGGTACCACCACCATGCCTATTTCTGCCGTGAAGCAGAAATGCGTTTCTGTTTGAAGGGTGAGGCAGCCGTTGTTACTATTCTTGAGACCTTTAGATCTTATATCTCAAGGTGTGTGGCGCATTTACGTTGTAGATGTCTATGGGCTCCAGTAACCATTTAAACCCAGGTGGGCTGTGAGCTCGTCCACACATCAAAGCAATAAAAAAGTTGTTACTATGAAATTCCGAGAAATATCGCCCGATCAATATCATATATTATGTTACCCGTACCCAAGTCAAAATCTCACAAGACACCCGTCTATTCTCGACTCGTATAAATGGCTTTCAGTCCAGGATTACATTGAGACCGTGTTTTCCGTAAAAAGCAGGCCGTTGCGTTTTCACCAACAAAAAGAGAAAAAAATAATCATTAATCTTTTTTGGACATCCCTATTCATTCGAAGGCGTTTGCCATTCATAAATCTAATGCGTAATAGAATAAACGTCTTTGATTAATTAACGAAATATGTGTTTCGAACAGCTGATGTGCTTAGAAAATGTTATTTTGATATTGAATAGGCTTAGTCTGCCGTTGATTTCTGATTCTAATTAAATTGAACGCTCAGCTGCTTCTGAACGACCAAAGTTCATTGTGAGTTAATTAATGAATTAATCGCCATTGTGGATGAAATTGATTCTGTGGAATGTTTAGCATTAGTGCGACGTCCAGATTAAATCAAGATTGCTAGTTTTTAAAGCGAATAAAAAAAAAACCTATTTAATCTCGTTGTGTTATTAAGTAAATCACGTGGTTTTTTTTTATATTTTCGATGGTAAATTTTGATCTTATACCGAGTGCTTACGGTAATACCCAAAAATATAATACATTGAATATTTATTTCCAGTCACCTTAAGACACAAGATCGAAGCATTGGATTTGCCAAACGACAACCATACATAGTCTTCAATCAAGTTTATCAGATAACCATACTAAATACTACAAAGCAGTGACTATTTGGATCCAGATGCACTATTTAAAAAAAATTAAATTATTAACACATTCGTATTTGATAATTTCTTCATTAGTTCGATGAGCTCAGAGCCATGTAGTATTGATTGTTAATTGGAGCCCATGGACATCACCACTTCAAAGCAATCGCTTGAGACATGAGGCCTGAATGAGAGCGACGTCATTGACGTTTCTAAGTCACTGTTGACTCCGGACTTTAGACACCAACCATTTGCTATATACGCCAATTAAAAAGCGGTAGGCAGCGGCTTTGCTCTGCCCCTGGCATTGCTGAAGTCCATGGGCGACGGTAACCACTCACCATCAGGTGGGCTGTATGCTCGGCTGCCTAGAAGGGCAATAAAAAAAAACCAAATTCTTCGAAAGGGCTCGCTACTTTGAAATGGCCTGAAATAGCGACTGGTAGATTTTGTTTATGTTTTAATTTTATTATTTGGACCCCGCATAGGACGGCCATTGTGTATAATGCGATTCGCAGTCCTTTACTACAAAGAATACGTTTTACGAGACGACCGACCCAGTTCCGCGTACTGTGAAAATGAAACTAACCGAATAAAAGGAACGATTGCAATTGAATACTGATGGTAGGACCTCTTGTGAGTCCGCGCGGGTAGGTACCACCGCCCTGCCTATTTCTGCCGTGAAGCAGTTATGCGTTTCGGTTTGAAGGGTACGTCAGCCGTTGTAACTATACTGAGATCTTAGAACTTATATCTCAAGGTGGGTGGCGCATTTACGTTGTAGATGTCTATGGGCTCCAGTAACCACTTAACATCAGGTGGGCCGTGAGCTCGTCCACTCATCTAAGCAATAAAACAAAAAAAAAAGAATATGCAATTTCGAAAAGGGCACATGTCGCATATTTTGTCAAATACGTTTTTTCATATACATGTAGTTTTGAGGCTTACCTACACCCATTTTATAATAATTCCAGTAATTTTAAATTGTTAATTAACACTAAAATATATCTCAAAAGTTAGTATTTTAAATTTTACACTGCTTCAGAAAATAATCAGTTTTTTTTTCATTTCCTGAACATTTTACATTTTCAGAGATGTGCCCTTTTCGAAATTGTATAGTCAATTATAAGAATTGGTTGTTCTCATTCATGACTTTAGAAACGTTAGGTGTTAATAAAGTTAATTAAATAAAAAATAAATATCAGAATCTTATATTTCAGAAATCAGTCCATATGTATTGTGTACATAAAATCAATAAAATATTATTAAAATTAACATTTAAATATCATCAATTAAAGCAAATAAAAATTGTAAATAAATGATTAAAACTAATTATAAATGCACAGATACACAAGTAAATTTAAAAATAAATTTTGATCATTAATGGTCACTATGCCATGAACACAGAAGAGAGCGATGACTTTGAAGTTGTTATTTCTTGGTATTGTTACGCCGGTAAGAGCAACGCCATCTATCGTCGAATAGCAGAAACGAATATCAAAATAACAAGCAAAATCTAAAACGCTCGAGAAGTACAACGCCACCTGTTGCAAAATAGTGAAGAAACACATGTCGAAACTACTCGTCTTGTCAGGAATGTTCTCGATAATCCTAGGGATGTCGTATCGACTATAACAGCGTTGCAGAGATAACACGGAGTTAGTTAGTAATCGGATCTATTCGAAGCGAAACAGCGAACGGATCATCTGAAAGGAAGCGGAAGAAGTGAATTGCGAATTGCAAAGTGTTTTGAGTGTTAAATACAGTTTTAATTTGTATTTCGGTGGACTTTTTGTTTATCCCGAACCCCAGCGCGTAACAGCGTGAGTGAGTGTTGAGATGACGGCTGATAGAAGAGAATGGAAGAGAAAAATTAGCTGTGCCGACCCCACCTAGTGGGATAAGGTGGAGAAAAAGAAAAAAGAGCCCCAGCGCGTAACAGTACTATTAACAACTAGCGACCTACCCTCGCTTCGTTTCGGGATCTATTATTGATTATGAAAATGAAATGGCTGATTTTTTACTACTTACTTGATACTTATATCGTTATATTTTGGGTAATTCACAATATATCTATATAGCCTATGTGTCATTCTCATGTTTCCAATCCAGTAGTTTTTGCGTGAAAGAGTAACAAACATATTTCCACACATTCTCACAAACTTTCGCGTTTACAATATTAATAGGAATTGAATCCAAAATATGATGTCTCGAAGGAAATGACAGAATGGTGTTACTTTACTGTGTGATGGTCTAATAGCGTCCTCTGAGTATTATCCCAGAATTAACTGGTATTATAAACCAATGCAGATAAGCACTATGTACCATACTACCAATTGTTCAGTGAAGTAAAACGTTTTGTCAAATTCAATTGAAGCATCAGATTTATATCTTAAAGAGTGTGGCGGTATTCAAATTATGATGTTATAACTTTTTTATTTACTTAAAGAATCGACGAATCCGATTTCTACTTGTCCAGTAATTAACGGAGCACTTAGAAATCATAAAATTAATGAAAATGCTTTCTATCGGGTTGGAATAATCGCTGTGCTATCGTTCAAAGTAGAATGCCACAGAAACTGCGGCTGGAGTATTCGTACGATATTCAGAAATGCAAAGATTTCATATTAATATATGTATTGTTTTATTTTCCTGGTAGGCAGCGTACGGCCCAACTAATAGTGAATGCTTACCGCCGCCCATGGAATTCAACAATGCCACGGGACGAGCCAAGCCGCTGCCTAAATATCTACAGGTTTGTCGTCGTGGTCTAAAGGATGAGACGTCCGGTGCATTCGTGTTGAGCGTGCACCGGTGTTCGAATCCCAGGCGGGTACCAATTTTTCTAATGAAATACGTACTCAACAAATGTTCACGATTGACTTCCACGGTGAGTGAATAACATCGTAATAAAAATCAAACCTGCAAAAGTATAATTTGTGTAATTACTGGTGGTTGGACCTCTTGTGAGTCCGCGCGGTAGGTACCACCACCTTGCCTATTTCTGCCGTGCATGCGTTTCGGTTTGAAGGGTAGGGCAGTCGTTGTAACTATACTTGAGACCTTAGAACTTATATCTCAAGGTGGATGGCGCATTTACGTTGTAGATATCTATGGGCTCCAGTAACCACTTAACACTAGGTGGGCTGTGAGTTCGTCCACCCGTAAAAGCAATAAAAAAAATTAGGTATATTATATTAACAATCTATTTGTTCGCAGAGAAGCGCTGCCCAATGGCACACTCTGGTTGAGTCCGTTCCCGGCTGAGCAGTACCGGAGCGACGTACACGCTTCAGTATACCGATGCCGGGCAGCCAGCACTGTAGGCATCATACTATCCAGAGATATGAGACTGGAAGCTGGTAAGTGATTGTAATCAAGTTCATGACAAGCAATGTATTATACTACAAAAAGTCTTAGGTTTTTGGAACAAAGTTCCTTATGGGACGATGCGGAGGGGTACTCTAACCGGAAAAAATCGTCCGTAACGTAAGATTTTTATTAGTAATACACACAGTGTACGACTTAACTTTGTAATAACGTACAAAACAATAACACGTTTTTTTTAACATTCATTGACCACGATCTCAGAGCGTTCGTTTGAGCAATACACTAACTCTTATGCAAACAAACGTGAATGAAGTGTGCCACAATAAGTTTGCACGTTACCGAATGACCGTGGGTTGTTGCGAAACCTCCAGTTTTATTTTCTTTATACCTCGAATAGAACATAAAAATTAATATTTTTACAATAAGGAACTTTGTTCCTATCCGGTGTCCCACGACACCACGCATCTTTTGTTTTTATTACCCTTGTAGGCAGACGAGCGTACGGCCCACCTGATGGTGAGTGGTTTCCGTCGCCCATGGACTTCAGCAATGTCAGGAGCAGAGCCAATTCGCTGCCTACCGTGGATGGCGGTGTTTACGTTTTTTAGATTTATTTATTTATTTTTTATTGCTTAAATGTGTGGACGAGCTCACAGCCCACCTGGTGTTAAGTGCTTACTGGAGCCCATAGACATCTACAACGTAAATGCGCCACCCACCTCGAGATATAAGTTCTAAGATCTCAGTATAGTTACAACGGCTACCCCACCCTTCAAACCGAAATGCATTACTGCTTCACGGCAGAAATAGGCGGGGCGGTGGTACCTACCCGTGCGGACTCACAAGAGGTCCTACCACCAGTATAAACCCACATAAGAAATAAAAAAAATGGTAAAGTTTTATTATAAAACGTGTCAGCAAACCGTGAATTTGGCTCGAAGTCTAAGTTGATCTGCCTTTATTCAAATTTCGTTCAATCCTATTTTATTAGATTTATCTCTCAAATTAAATCATCAAAGACATTAATTATTATTCAATAATTTTTATTAAAAGTTTACGATTCGATTTTTGTCCCATTGTCAGCAAAAGCTTTTTTCATCTTGAATCCTCGTCTTGAGCTACTCGTTAAAAACTTCCAAATATTTAATAGGTATATATCTAATACCATTTTGAAACTGTAATAGGACATTCGGAAAAAACATTAAATATCATAATAATCAGAGAACTCAGATCATCAATTTATTGGATACTTATCTATCTATTTGTTGGCATTTCGAAAATCGCCGAAAGTAAAACATGAAAGAGGAGTGCATGCGGCAGAGATGCGAATGTTGAGATGGATGTGTGGAGTGACAAGAATGGACAAGATAAAGAATGAGTATATCAGAGGAAGTGTGAAAGTGGCCCCGGTAAGCAACAAATTAAGGAGCGGACGGCTAGCGTGGTATGGACATGTGATGCGTAGAGAGAAGATGCATGTGACTAGGAGATGTATGGAAATGGTAGTGCAAGGTAGAGGGGGAAGAGGTCGACCGAAGAAGACATGGATGGAGTGTGTGAATGACGATATGAGAGAGAGGAGTGAGTGTTGAGATAACAGCTGATAGAAGAGAATGGAAGAGAAAAATTAGCTGTGCCGACCCCACCTAGTGGGATAAGGTGGAGAAAAAAGAAGATTTAGAAAATCGCCGAAAAACGAATTTTTAGCTTAAAATGGTATATCATCATAGGTGTGATAATGGTTCCGCTGCTAAAGCTATGTAATCACATTTTGAAGAAAAAAAAAACCACACTGTTTACAGATTATATCATTATCGCACCAGTAAAGATAACTATAGTACATATATTACTTATCTATTGTCTATTGTTCATACCATTCTTAAGACATTTTCAAAATTCAATTCTAAATAGTAACCCTGACTACAAAATCACACCGCTATTCTATTAAGTCCGTTGTAGGTCCTTAAACAAGTTTCGGGAAAGGCGCGTTGATGTGATACTATTTAGAATTATTTATCGGAAGGCGAAAAGGTTCAGGGACCCTTATAAAAGTTTTAGTGGCCACTGTTCTATTGGTGTGCTCCTGAAAAGCAGCTTTTGGTTTTTGTAGTATTTAAAATACTTTTAAATGTCTACAGCTTCAAAATAATCTCAAAATGACTTATGGTTATATTACTTGTTTTTTTTGTTTGTTATTTATAATATTTATTTATTACACTTAACGTATTTATATGCATCGACAGACCTAATTAATGCCTAAGGAATTATCTGCCAGTCTACTCAAGGTAGTGCAGAGTAAATATTGGTAGGTGCAATGAAATATAAATTAAACACATACACAAATACACAAAAGTACATACTATACATAAGTGTAAATATATATTGCTTATACAACTTTCAAAGGTATATAATAACATAAATTCATGATGACGTGAGTTTAGCTGTAGTGCTGTGAATTGAGCTAATAAGCATTCAAGAGAAATGTAAAGTTTTTTTTTATGTGGTATTGGAAAATGTAATCATTTAAATGTTGTAATGTTTTCTTTCTGTGTGTGCCATTATTATAAAGTCTCAAAATATGAGCTGTGGTAAATTCTGAATGGCCCTTAATCTGAATCCACTTATAATATTCGTATGATAATTTTTGGACTGTCGACCAAAGTTGCCCGTTGGGTGGAAGATCCTCCATTAATCTGGATCGTTCATCAATAATTCAAGATAGTCTGTTAAGAAGCAACAAGTTGTTCAGAAATTTCTCGAAACTTAAGCAACTGAGTCGTCGTGGCCTAAAGGAAAATACGTCCGGTGCATTCGTGTTGAGCGATGCGCCGGTGTTCGAATCCCACAGGCGGGTACCAAATTTTTCTAATGAAATACGTACTTAACAAATGTTCACGATTGACTTCCACGGTGAAGGAATAACATCGTGTAATAAAAATCAATCCCGCAAAATTATATTTTGCATAATTACTGGTGGTAAGACCTCTTGTGAGTTCGCGCGGGTAGGAATTTTTTTTAATATTTTTTTTATTGCTTATATGGGTGGACGAGCTCACAGCCCACCTGGTGTTAAGTGGTTAGGTTAATGGAGTTGGTAAATGCGCCACCCACCTTGAGATACAAGTTCTAAGGTCTCAAGTATAGTTACAACGGCTGCCCCACCCTTCAAACCGAAACGCATTACTGCTTCACGGCAGAAATAGGCAGGGTGGTGGTACCTACCCGCGTGGACTCACAAGGGGTCCTACTACCAGTAATCAAAAAGTACCACCGCCCTGCTTATTTCTGGTAGGTGGCGCATTTACGTTATAGATGTCTATGGGCTCCAGTAACCACTTAACACCAGGTAGCTCAGCGTGTGAGCTCGTTCGCGCATCTAAGCAATAAATAAATAAAGATACTGAAAGTCAAGTTTTAATCGAAGTCTTCTTGTTCATAATACGGATTCGGTTACATTTTCATTAGCAAACAGTCTTTTGCCCGCTCTCCTGTCCTACACATATGTAGCAATCTCATTTGCAATAATAGCGTGGCACGCACGTTTCTTATTTATTTCATTCGTCCACTAAACGAGCGGCCATAAGCACTGACCTTTTCCCATTGTCGCTTGTATAGAAAGAGAAAAAAAAAAAACACGTAGATACGTGACTCGTGTGTTTATATTCAATATACCGGCTAAAGGGACCTCTGTGTGACCGGAATTCTAATTCGATATAACTCGCGCGAACTGAAAATTGACTCAAGGAGCTTTTCGCCAAGGAGTTAATTCTTTTGTTTGCGATCACAAAATGTGGTCACAAATAATGTAGCCATATTCAATTATTTAATATTGGTTTTTTTTTTTTTGTTTTAATTAAATGAAAATGCTTTAATGAATCCTCTTATCTAATACGTAAACATATTCTTGTTTGTTTGGTTAAACGATCTGTAGCTTAATAAAAATAAAAATTCGCTTTGTAAAGTTTCATAATTCCCGAACAACGTCGAAAACATTAATAGAATTTACGGGTAAAATCCGCGCCATTAATTTACCGNAAAAAAAAAAAAAAAAAAAAAACTCAACGAAATTGAAAGTCGACGTTCTTGGCTGTATTTCGCGGGGTCTGATTCCATTAGCGGACCTTTTCGTGGCTTGCACAAAAGGGAATATTGCGGGCTTCGATCCGGTAGGTTAGCGCCGTCCCCCGAACGCCTTACGTAAAGAATCGTATTTGAATTCCGGCAAGATTGATTCCGTCTCAGCTCGTGTCAATACAGTAGGTCAAGTATCTGAAGGGTTGGGACTTTAATCTTTGCTGTTAAACGAGGAATTTCGCTTTTCAAGTGTGCGAAATATAGAATTCCATTTAGTTTGTGTGTGTGTGTGTTTTTTATTGCTTAGATGGATAGACGAGCTCACAGCCCACCTGGTGTTAAGTGGTTACTGGAACCCACAGACATCTACAACGTAAATGCGCCACCCACCTTGCGATATAAGTTCTTAGATCTCAGTATAGTTACAACGGCTGCCCCACCCTTCAAACCGAAACGCATTACTGCTTCACGGCAGAAATAGGCAGGGTGGTGGTAGCTTAACGCGCGGACTCTCAAGAGGTCCCACCACTACTAAATAAGCTCTGTTCTATTGCTTTGTATTTAAATCAAGATCACATCACTCCGGCCCGTTCTTTACAAATAGCTATACTAGGACCCCCTTATCTTTTCTTTTCACCGCGTACTTAAAGGTTCGAGTGTTCTCTTTGTATTCAATGTCACTTTAAAAGATCAGCGATGAGTAAACCGTTGTTAATCGTTTAGTGATATCGTCTTAAGAGAAACACCCAGCTTTTACCGCTCAAATGGGCCCTCCACGCCAATATCAGACGATTTGCGAATACGGCGCATCTGAACAAGCCTCTTTACGGGGTCTTTTTGTGTGGAACAGAACAAAAGCCGCTTGGCCGGTCTCACAAAGTCCCGCAGTGTGCGCTTTCCTTTATATCGACAAACATTCTGCGGTTCCGAAGACAAGTTGACTGTTAATGTTTATGGC